CAGTTTTTGAATACAGAAGTAAAGACAAATTTTTGTGAGACTTTTGAGGATCAAAAAAAGCTAGCTTTCTCTTTTAGTTCTTTTTCTTGGGTTGTAACAAGCACATGACATGACATTAATCGATCCCTGTTGTGTAAAAAATGATCTACTGATCTTAATTTTGAAATCTTCTGATTGATTTTATAAGTTTTGATATGACGGTGAGAAATGCTTCACGGGGTACTGACTCAAGTGTTGGTGTCACTGATCATGCACCTAGAAAAGGAATGCTTTTTCCCTTCCAACCCCTTTCACTTGCATTCAATCATATCAACTACTATGTGGATATGCCCACTGTGAGTCATTCTAAGTAGTTTGTTGTCTAGTGCTTATGTTGATTAGGAGTGCTAGAATTATCTTCTGTTTCTTTTTTCTCTTATTCAGAGCCAGCATTGCTTGTCACCACTACACATTCATAGCACTGTCATCCCCACTAATTTTGCCCATGGAAAGTGTGAAGTAAATCAGTAATATAGTTCCCACGCTTGACCTGTCAGAAACAAAAAGTGAATCCAGAACTTCCCATCAGAATCACAATTGTTTCAACCATTTATAGTGTTAATAGCAATCCATATAAGAGGGTGTGGTGCTTCTGGACCAATACAGTTATTGGCATTGTTCAGTATACATCAAATGTCTCTCTCCCTCTTTCGCTTTGTTGCTGCAGTAGGAAGAAAGCTGGTTGTTGTATGCAGTTTAGGAACCTGCACAATGATAATGAATATTCTGCTTGGAGGATTTATAGTTGCCCAAAGTAAGCTGCCTGATTTCTATTTTCACTTTTGAGCCTACCTTGAATTAGAATGAGCTTTTAATTTACCAATCTTTATACCACATTGTTGAATATTTCTTGACATTTAACCAAGTAAGTTGTGGATTCTTTCATGTGATTGTTTATATATTCGATGATCAAAGCACTATATCTACAACCATTCATTTCCTTTTGTGCCCGCAGATGACATTGAGCCATTTATGATATGGGGCTATTATATTTCTCCAGTGATGTATGGACAAAATGCTTTAGTCATTAATGAATTTCTTGACAAAAGATGGAGCGCCGTAAGTTCTCTTTTACTGTTTGCGTAGTATCTTAGTGATTCAAAATCTATAGTCTTGGATGAAGATGTTGGAAAGAAGAATAAGAAATCATCTGGACGAATGACCTCTGAAGGTTTGAGCCTTTACCTTTGTCTCTTTTGATCTTTACTTAATGATCTCGTCTTCTATTTCTCTTGCTGCCAATTAAGTTAAAACACGTAGGTCACTAGTTACTCCTTTATCACATTTCTTTTCCATTTTAAAGTTCATGGCAAGTTGAATTGCATTGTGTGTGTAATGATGTCAATGAAGTGGGGAAACCAGATATCCTAAGAGGAATTAAGAAAACAGCAATAGGAATAGGTTTTTCAAAAGGATATCTTGTTTTAAATCAGATCTAAGCAGCGCAAAAACAAAACCAGTTTTTGAATACAGAAGTAAAGACAAATTTTTGTGAGACTTTTGAGGATCAAAAAAAGCTAGCTTTCTCTTTTAGTTCTTTTTCTTGGGTTGTAACAAGCACATGACATGACATTAATCGATCCCTGTTGTGTAAAAAATGATCTACTGATCTTAATTTTGAAATCTTCTGATTGATTTTATAGGTTTTGATATGACGGTGAGAAATGCTTCACGGGGTACTGACTCAAGTGTTGGTGTCACTGATCATGCACCTAGAAAAGGAATGTTTTTTCCCTTCCAACCCCTTTCACTTGCATTCAATCACATCAACTACTATGTGGATATGCCCACTGTGAGTCATTCTAAGTAGTTTGTTGTCTAGTGCTTATGTTGATTAGGAGTGCTAGAATTATCTTCTGTTTCTTTTTTCTCTTATTCAGAGCCAGCATTGCTTGTCACCACTACACATTCATAGCACTGTCATCCCCACTAATTTTGCCCATGGAAAGTGTGAAGTAAATCAGTAATATAGTTCCCACGCTTGACCTGTCAGAAACAAAAAGTGAATCCAGAACTTCCCATCAGAATCACAATTGTTTCAACCATTTATAGTGTTATAGCAATCCATATAAGAGGGTGTGGTGCTTCTGGACCAATAAGACTACTTGTTACATGGTTATTTGGGCACGAGAAAAAGTCAACAGTGCTACATGTATGTAATTAAAATATAGAAAAATATATAAAACGTACACTCTATGGTTTAGATTGATTTTAAGTGTAATCCAAATAATACTAAAAATATATCTCAGCCACAGATTATATTTTCTATGCATTTTCATTGTTTTAATTTTGTGCAACTATCATTTCTAAAGAAAAGGTCAGTCATACCCTTCTATTTTTGTGCGGCCTCGTTGATCGGGAGCACCTTGTGTAGATGTCACTATTGGAAAGAATGAGTTGCCTTATATATATCTATGTATTCATCATAATGCATAGCTCTTCATTTCTCATCAAACACAATGGAAAGAATGAGAAAACAATTGCATATCCTAGAAATTCAAGTTAAACAGTTGTGTATCCTTATTGTTGATGCGGTGACTGAAGTGGTTTGGGTTATTACCCTACTTGAATTTTTGACCAACTTTTACTCCCTATTTTATTTTTCATGGCTACCATTACTTGTTTCGTAATTATCCTATTAAGGTTACCTCAATTATAATTTCACAAAGTTAGACGCGACTAATGGTTATTTTCCCATTAGATTTTGTGGACAACTGACTATTTTCCCCTTTCTTTTTCTTTATGGGGTCCTGTTGCTGAAAATGTATGTGAAACAGCAGCTGGATATCTCAATGAATGTCAGAATGAAAGCTTAAATTTTACTACTAGTTTAAGATTTTCTACATTTAATGGTTATCAAAATTACTGGCCTGACTTGAGAGAATTGTTTATTCTTTTTCTTTATTAAGCATTTGCACAGCATGACTCGTGAATTACTAGCCTGACTTGAGAGAATTTTCTGTATAAATCCTCCTGAGCACTTCTGGGTTGGCACTCGTGAATTACTCAACACAACATCTTCAAAATAGAAAAGTAATATTTCTTTCATGTTTGGTTAGCCAAACCACTAGCTACATTTTTAATCCTCTTAGAACAATAACTAAGATAGCTAGTTTCAGGCACGTTACATGGACTCTTTAGAATAAATCAAATAAACAATGGTGTGAGATATGTACTTAACACTATATATATATATTGCTGTCTATAAATCAAATTCCTCTTTAACACTATATTATATATGATACCATTTCATCTCACTTAATAGTTTAAAAATATAAAAATATAACCCTTATTTTGCCAAGTTGGCGAATACCAAACATCCATATCCGAGTCTATGTAACATATGTTCGAGGAGATGGTCTAACTCAAGTTCTTGTTTGAGCAAGTTGAACCTCTTTTGTCATGCATAGAGTGTCTCGGCTGCTAAGGGTGCCTTTCTTTTTGTCTTTTGCTTTGATGATCTGTTGTGGATGTTGTTTGCAGGATATTATGGAGTTCCCAGGTCTGGAAATGTTGTTTTGTGCTGCTTCTACATAATACTATGGAAGAGATTGCTGCGCATTCTCTTTGTGAGTAGTCTGTGTTTGTTTGCTATGTTGTGTGTGAAAATCTGTGGTTGGTCAAGATTTCCGCTACTCTGCTATTGCACCTACTTGTTTACTGATTGTTATATGATCTCTTGGCTTTATCAATAGCCAAGAAAATAAAAAAAGAGAGTAGAAAACATATGTTATTTAATCTGACGCAACGAGAACTTTGATGTGTACTACATATTTTCGGACATATATATTTATATGTTATCTACTTGTCTATCTATCTATCAATCTTTATATATAAGAGAAATATTAGTTAATGCATCAAAAGTATTGGTAAGCATGTGAAGGCATAATGTGATGTTTTAATAGCCATTTGTGTTTTATGACAATTGTTACTGATAAAAATATCACTGATCTTTGCTCAATAATTCTTTCACCAACTTGCCAAGACATTTAGGCATACAAACTTAGTATAATGGTGAGACCATCCAAAAATAATATTTTCACAGGTTCCTTCTCACCTCTTTTGTTTTAAGACCAAATTTGTCAATGCATTTCATACTGGTTATCATCGGATGAGATCAGTAGCACACCATCTATTCTTGTTGTTGCTTATATACTGCGAGATGGTTGTTTGATAGATCCCTTCTGAGCTGCTAATATTCTTCAACTGTCTTTCTCTACTTTGGAGCAGTGCTTGTGTTTGTTTGGTGCTACAATGGAGGAAGCACTGTTGTTTCAGAAGAAGAAGAAGAAGCTCGTTTTCTATTCTGTGATGCTTGCTTTTATGCTTCTTTTTCCCCTTGTTTCACCTTCTCTCTGTCTCTCTCTCTATTTTGTTGTCTTTCGAGCTGTTTTTGCCTCTGATGAATGCGGACTTATAAAAGTTTTTACTATTTTTTCCACTGTCTTTTCGATTGTGATTTCTGCGAAACGGAAGCTTGTTTGGTAGCTTTGAAGAAGAGTTTGGAAATTATTTTTAAGTTTGTACATTTTAGAGATTCTTATAAGTTCTCTGTTTGGTTTCCAAGAAAATGCTGGAGAAAACGACAGTTCGGTTTTTATGTTCCCAGAAGAAGACACTTGCAGGCAGTAGACAGTCGTTCAGTTCAGCTGGTTTCATATAATCTTATTTTCAGTATATTTTGAAACTGAACAACAATAGAAACAAAAATTCCGCAATTTTTTTGGATTTTTAAAGCAATCAAAAATTTTTTTTTTTGTTGGCTACCAGGGAGGGAATTTATTTTCTCTTCGTTTGTGAAGAAAATCATGCTATATAATTAATAGAAAGCTATTCACATGACGAGAAAATGGTTTGTATCTGCACAGGCAAAGCGTTAATGTCGACGTCGTTTAACAACATAGCAAATGTGTTGTTGGACTAGGATGATGTTCATAACGATGATTTCTATTCATGGCGTGGCGTCTTCTGTGACAATATCACCCTATCTGTTGTTTCTCTGTATGTGTTTTCTGTTCATGCTTATTTTTCTTCCTTTTTCTTTTTCCATTTGATTCTACTGGAGTTTTTATTTATTTATTTTTTATTTATATATATATATATATTATATTTGTTGGTTGAAGGAATTTGTCAAATTTGAACTTGGGTGGGGAGATTTCACCAGCCATTGGAGACCTGAAGAATCTACAGTCCATGTATGCTTTCTTTGCTAACCCTGTTGATTTGGTGTTCTTGCTCATTGTAACCAGGTTAACATAATAGCAACTTTGATGTTATTGTTGAAATATTTTCAGGAATTTTCAGGGCAACAAATTAACTGGTCAAATTCCTGATGAGATAGGCAACTGTGTTTCTCTGATGCTAGTGTAAAATTTCATCTTCTTTCTTCATTACAATTTTATTTACATATATGTGGATATATTAATTTCTTCTTCTGTCTTTAGGTGATTAAGATTTTTAGTTTTTATGTTAATGGTTGGGTTTCCATAATGCAGGGATTTATCTGATAATTTACTATATGAAGATATACCATTCTCAATATCCAAACTTAAGCAGCTTGAGTTATTGTAAGTTAATACCTGAAGTGAAGTACTATTAATTAAATATGCTAGATTGTTTAAGATAGATAAGTTTTTAGTTCTGCCAACCAAGGGCTTGAATAAGCTCTGTAAATGCAGGAATTTGAAGAACAATCAATTGACTAGTCCTATCCCTTCAACATTAACACAGATTCCCAAGCTCAAAACTCTGTGAGTCATAATTTTTTTATTTTTTTATTTTTTAGTGGAGTCCATGCAGTTAACATTACCATATGCTTTTTTGATTTTATTTACACCAAAGCCATAGACACTTGTGCTAATATATATGTATGCCTTGTCTTTGTGTAAATTTATTCTGTAGGGACCTTGCTCGTAACCAGCTTATTGGTGAGATACCGAGGTTAATCTATTGGAATGAAGTATTACAATATCTGTAAGTACTACATCAATTACGGTTTAACAACTGATAGATAAAATCCAATTTCATTATCAACCCTTGATGCTATTAACACTTAAACATTTAATTTGGTTTATAGTTTTACTCTGGACAAACTATTGGTTCGTCTATCATCTGGTGGTAATTATGTTTGCAGAGGGTTACGTGGCAATTCTTTAACTGGAACCCTGTCCCCAGATATGTGCCAACTAACTGGCCTGTGGTATTTGTGAGCGTTCACTTCCTGGTTATGCTTGCTTTGGGCTTTTTCTGTGCTTCCTGCTTGCTTTCTGCTTCATATCCATGGGGACATTGAAATCTTCCTTGATCTCTTTAGTGATGTAAGAGGCAATAACCTAACTGGAAAAATCCCTGATAACATTGGCAATTGTACAAGCTTTGAGATCTTGTAAGTTTCTTAAATGATAACTACCCTACTACGGAAATACATTCTTTCTTTTCATTTTTGGTTAAAATTGTAGTGTATGATTTTCAGAGATATCTCATACAATCAGATCTCTGGGGAGATTCCATACAATATTGGCTTTCTACAAGTGGCCACTCTGTGAGTTCTCTTACTCCACTTTGTATTTTTCTTTTGTGGAAGAAGTAGAAGCTAGAAATGTTCTTCTTCTGTTGTCTTCAAGGAAGGTCAATTGAAGTTAAAATTGATATGCACTTAATTTTTGAATTCTAATACAAAATGCATTTCGTGTTTTTCATTATGACATTACTGTGCTTATGGTTCTTGTTATTAGATCTCTGCAAGGAAATAGGCTGACAGGGAAAATTCCAGAGGTGATAGGTCTAATGCAAGCCTTTGCTGTTTTGTAAGTGTGCTTAATATAGTGGCATGTCTTTGAGAATTTTTTTTTAGAATGTGTCTGAATATAGTTGAAGTCAGATAGTACTTGCTGAGATTCTTTGAGATGGATGGACAATGTGAAAGCTGTATATTAATTATATTTATAGGGATAGTGACTAATGGAACAACATTATTTTTTGAAGTCATTTTTTTTCCACCTCCTCAATTGCTTGTTTTATTACATGGATATGGGCAAGTGGATCAGCGTGCTGAATACATGATTTTTATTTCCTTGCATCAGCCAATTCAACTTACTCCTTGGTTCTTGCAAATGATGGTAGGGAAGACCTATTTGAAAAAAAAGCCTTATGAATAGATGGTCGTGTCTACTTCTATATTTACTTCGGTGTTTTTAACCTATTTGTTAATATTTCATTACAGGAAGTTACAAAAAAGGCCCAAGAAGAGGCTTCTGAGCATGTGAGATGTCTGGAAGAAGATTTGGGAAAGTTGAGGTATATTTGATTTGTTTGAATTTCTTCTTTTTCTTCTTCATTTTCTACTTTCTACTGTAAGCTTAGAAGCTTGCACTGTTGAAAGAGCTTGGTGATCTGTTTTGTGAATTTTAACTTGGATTGTACACCTTCTTCTTCTTAAAATGTTTTATACTTTAATATATATCAGTATTGGTGGGTCCCCATGCTTAGCAGAAATTGGAGCCACTTTATGTTCCTGAAAATGGATCCATGGACAATTTGTCCTCTAAAGAGGGTGATTTGTTGTTTCAAATAATAAAGACTATAAATTAGCTAAAAGGCTTTGTATGTTTGCTATAACACAGGCAGCTAATACATATAAATCTCAATGAGACACCATATTGTTGTGTTATATGAAGATTATACAGGTTGAAGAAAGTAAACATGCATCTCATAGTTGCACAATGGTGCATGCATTTTATACATTTTAATTCTTTCAAAATTGTATATAACGGACATGATATTCACAGAAATATTGTGCAAGATTAACAAATTGATCATGAAATTCAGTGTTTAGTCAAAGAGATGAGTTCATCTACATCAACAATCCTAAAAGTGTACTTCTATCTCTAGTATCTGATGTTTAGATATGTTGTTTTCATTTCCGTGCAGTACAAGTTTTTTGTTGATGGAGAATGGCGGCATGATGAGCACCAACCATTTGTAAGTGGAAATTATGGGGTGGTGAACAGTGTCTTCTTAGCTAGGGAGCCTGATGGGTAGATCTAGTATGGATGTGGATAATGATCCATTTTTTCATTTTTTGGAAGCAAATTATCTTACAAAAGCTTTTGTAATACAAGTTGGTCTAGTTGATAAGAACAAGGCTATGTGTGACTTTTGGCTGGTGTTGATTTTTGCTGCCATAGGACTGCTGATTTTTTGGTTGAGAATTGTGAATTTAATTTTTGAATATGTTATTTTGTGGGTAATGATGATTGGATATTAAATTGAATAGGAAAGTGAAATAATGCTGCATTTATTATTTGAATAGGAGTTATTATTTCATATTAAGGTTATTCAATTTTATTATAGGTATTTTTTTAGTTTAATAACATAAAATTAGCACAATTTCACAAAAAAAAAGAGGATTTCACGGCATTTTTAAAACGCCACCTAAACTCCAAAAAGTTAACGGTCAATTTTTTTTAAAAAGATGATTTGAGTGTGGAGTCGTGTTTTGAGTTATGAGTTTTGAATTATGATTTGAAAAGAGAAAATTTGTTTGGTTATAAGTTTTGAAAAGAGTTTTAAGTTGAATTTTGAAATGAGTTTTGAAATGAGAAAAATTGTTTAGTTATGAATTTTGAGAAAAAAAAAAAGAGAAAATTTTCAAAACTAATAATTCAAATGATTATAATCCATAACCAAATATATAACTCAAAACCTTATAAAAATTCTGTTCAAAACTCGTAACTAAACTCTATTTAAAATTCAACTAAAAAATAATTATTGAAATTTTTTTTTATTTACAAAATTAAAAAAATTCTGAAAATATTTTTTATTTTAAATATTACCAAAAAATATTATTTTTTTGAAAAAAAAATTTCAACTAGTGGTTTAAAATTACTCTTGATTGTTTATTTGGTTGGAATTTTTTGTTAAGTTTTAAAAAAAAAAAATTATTGTCACAAATCAATTGCTATTTATTTTTTTGTTATTTTCAAATAAATGGCCAAATAACTTGTCATTTTCGTATATATGGGTAATCAAAAATGTTTACAATGTACACAAAAAATTTTAAAAAATAGAAACAGAGCAAAACTAGGTAGAAATTGGACCGTTGGTTGTCCCCCTGAACGTCCGGCTGGTTGTCCCCTTGGACGACGGTCCCTGTGTGAATTGGCTGCTTCGGCTGCTGCTTTTTGTTATGTTCTTCTATGCTTGTTTTAAGCTTCAATTTGACTACAAAGAATCTTAACAAATTCATTTTGAGATTAGTGTTAATTTATATGTTTTGAATTAATTATTAACTCACAAAATAAATCAAACTAAAGAGTAGATAATTATCAAAATAAATTATTTCTAAAAAATCTCCCCACCATGTTGTCTTTGATTTGTTTTGGAGTAAAAAACACTCTCCCTCTATTTTTGATCCCCTAAATGTTTGCTTAACAAAAATGTTACCATATGTGCGCACAGAACCAAACTTAATTAAACCATGATAATAAATAAGGAAATACTTATGATCAGGAGTAAAACAACTATTATCTACTCTCATGGACTTCATGTTGAGGTCTTCCATGAAAAAAAAAAATAAAACAAGAGCAAAATAAAACAACATAAAAGAAACAAATAAAACAAGAGCAAAATATAACAACATAAAAAAATTACAAGCAGTAGTATCACTGTCAAATTATCAACATCAAGAGGATCACTACTCAGGATCAGGCGGTGATAGAGGAAAGTGGTACTGATATATGGCATCCACGCGTGTCTCAATGTGGTCAACATGGGTATTGAGTGCACCAAATTATTGAGAGATTGCATTCGTCTGAGTGCCCATTTGTTGTTCCCTTTGAATGTGTTAATTATAGCGTTCTTGATCCATTGCCAAAAAGTTTGTCCAATAGGCAGAAGGTTGTTGCTGTGGTGGTGGCATTGCAACTTGAAAGTGATCTTCAGGATCATCCATGGGAACATTAGGAGTAACCATGCTCGGAAGCAAAACATCACCTCCTTTAGCTCGGTTGATTGTGTACTCACTAATGTCGGAAGCAGTATGAGATTCAGGCACATTGGCAAATCTAACTTTGAAGTGTTTGAGGATTTTGGTCAACAAGGCTCCAAATGCTAAAGATTTGTCTCGCAAGGATGAGACACGAGTCATTTCTCTCATAATAATGTAGCACAAATCAAGAGATTGACCAACCTCAAAACAGTAGAGTAGGTAAGCATTAAAGGTGGGAACAACATCATAGTGGCCTGCTTTAGGAATTACATTCTCTAATGAAAAACAATGAAGAATGCAAAGATGTGCTTTGAGGTGGTTGGCAAGTAGATTTGAGCCTGTAGATTTGCTAATGAAGATAGTAGAATAAACTTCATTGATATTGCCCACAATTTGAGCCATTTGTTCCTCAGTTTGAAAAATATTTGGTTATTGCTTTGTTGAACATCAAGAATAGAAGCCAAGGTTGGAACATTAAACTCATTGAAGTTGCCTTTCACATAAGAGTCAATAGTGTAGTCATCTTCTTCGGCATTCGAATGTTTGAGATGCAAATAAAAGAGGGCAAGAAAACAGGGATATACCTTTTCAGGAAAATTTATCAAGTTTTGCCATCCCATGGCTTGAAGTTTGTTCATCAAAATGGCATCATATTTTGGGGCAAGGTTGACTCTTCGGCCACTAATGATGGAACAGGAAGACATTGTTACAAATTCAAATTCTTGGTGTTGTGAGAGAAAGCAATTGATGGATATTGTTGTTCTTGATTGGATGACAGTCTAGCCTCTCAGGCTCTAGGCTTCTTAGTGCGAGGAGCCATGACTATTTACAATTAAGAAAAAATAGAACAACAGAATTGCGACAAGTTTTCATAGCAAAATGCTATTCTCAAAACAATTCATGGATATTCAACTATAAGCAAAAATTTTGACAGGAAAATAGGACTTGATCAATTATAAAAATCATAGAAGCATGAGACATAGTAGTATTTGAAGCATATCATCATCATTGAACTTCTACCCACATACTGATATAATCATAAGGTAACAGAAAAAAAAATGATCAATTTTAAACAAATCAGACAAGGGTGAAGACAAATTATAAAAGCATAAGTACCATTAACCATTTTGAACAATAACATGGAAGTATTGCATGAATTGAAAAAAGAAAATCAGGGGTAAAACAAACCCAAATACAAAATTGAGTTTGATTGGTGTTTGGGAGATAGAGTTTCAGAGTATGTTTTAACGCATAGATGAAGCAGAAAGGCGAAACTACACAGATCACAGATCTGTCGGTTTTGGGGTTGAAAAGGTTGTCTGTTCTCCATCGATCGATCTCCCGGTTGTCCGCTCGGACGACCGGCTGTCTTCGGTAGAGTTGTTTTGTTTGTTTAGACTGCTCTGTTGTGTAGACTGCTCTGCTTCATCAACACCAAATGAATGAGCTTCTGTAGGATGAATGAGCTTCTGTAGGATGAATGAACAAAGTAATGAACCTTTTAAAAAATCAATGAAGAGATTTAGGTGAATGAATTATAATACACATTCAAAGCTTTTGTTCAATGTATGAGAATGGTGTTGTAGACATCCCATTTTGACCGCCCCTACGACTTGGACGCCTCACTCTGAACACTTGATGATGAAATGTTACGCTGTGCAATAGTTCGAATCTTCAGCAAAATAATTCAATTTTGAGCTTATAATCTCACCTTACACCCTATTTTGACCAAAATGTTTCAAACCCTTAAAAATCCTCTTTTCAAACATTGAGACCCAACCGTGTGTTTTTTGGGCCCGGCCATGGGTATTTAGACCCGACCAGCTCTTAGCGGCAACAGGACTAGGTAGGCCACTTTTTTGGGTCGGCCATACAATTTATTGGCTGGCCGGCCATGTTTAGTGTAGCAGATATTTTGACAGCTACCAGCTACTCCTATGTACATGCTTTGGACCAGCTGTCCCTTTGCAGATATTTCCAACGTAAGAAGCCTTTTGTCTATAAATATCACCGCCCCTCATTATTTGGGGTTAGAAAAAATCCCCAAGAGCCCAAAGCTTGACCAACCATCTTCTGTACCCTCTTGCAATATAGATGCACAATACTGTAGGATGAATGAACAAAGTAATGAACCTTTTAAAAAATCAATGAAGAGATTTAGGTGAATGAATTATAATACACATTCAAAGCTTTTGTTCAATGTATGAGAATGGTGTTGTAGACATCCCATTTTGACCGCCCCTACGACTTGGACGCCTCACTCTGAACACTTGATGATGAAATGTTACGCTGTGCAATAGTTCGAATCTTCAGCAAAAGAATTCAATTTTGAGCTTATAATCTCACCTTACACCCTATTTTGACCAAAATGTTTCAAACCCTTAAAAATCCTCTTTTCAAACATTGAGACCTGACCGTGTGTTTTTTGGGCCCGGCCGTGGGTATTTGGACCTGACCAGCTCTTAGCGGCAACAGGACTAGGCAGGACACTTTTTTGGGTCGGCCATACAATTTATTGGCTGGCCGGCCAAGTTTAGTGTAGCAGATATTTTGACAGCTGCCAGTTGCTCCTATGCACATGCTTTGGACCAGCTGTCCCTTTGCAGATATTTCCAACGTAAGAAGCCTTTTGTCTATAAATACCACCGCCCCTCATGGTTTGGGGTTAGAAAAAATTCCTAAGAGCCCAAAGCTTGACCAACCATCTTCTGTAGCCTCTTGCAATATAGATACACAATATATACACCTTACAAGCTTAAACTTGAAGCTTTTGCTAAGATTTTTGAACACAATTTCAACTCCTTGAGAGTGCTTAGTTTGTAGTTTGTGAACTAGGAAAGCTCTTCCTCTCTTTCAAGAGGTAAACTTTGAGCTTTTTCACTGTCTTTTCTCTCTCTTTTCTTTGTCTTTACAGAGCTATATTAAGCTTAAAATGTGATAAAAGCTTTGTTAAAAGTAAGTGAGCTAGCCACCATTTCATTAACTAGTTCACTTATTATGCACCCTTTTGTTTTCTTTTAATTTTTTTTTCCGGCTTTCTTTTCACTTTATTTGGTAAATTTCAGTACCTTTTTAGCACTATTTTTGGGTTGTTTGTGTGTGATATGAATTGAATATGGGCTTACAAAAGGGTCCTTGTCTTCCCCACTACTTGTGCTCTTACTTATTATGCTTTAAATATCATATTTGTGTTGTTGTAAGTCCTCTTGGATTTGGCATGTTTAGGATATTCTTGTTGTCCACCTTGAAGCTACCTAGTAGCTTTCGTGTTCAAAGTGTTGAAAAACTCTCTTATCGATCATTTTTGACACATG